TTTTACAAACTGGGACTCAAGGACCCCTGAATCCTCAGATATCTGAGAAAAATAAAAAATTAAAAGACTTCCTTCCAAAAGCAAAGGTATTTCCACTTGAGAGCCCAGATCTAGAAGACTACCGCATCAGGTGGCAGCCACAGGGACTTCCTGAGGGGTGTCCCATCCAGGCTGGTACGTCTTGACATCTGCCCCTTGCTGTTCCCGCTGGGACCAGGCAGACACTGCACACACCCCAGCTCTCTGGGGAGGAACCATCTTCCCTTTACACTGTACCCTGGTCTTTCTTCCACCTACCTTTCTCTAGTCTACCAGCTAGAACCTCTGCTGTTGGGGCCAGAAAGCCCCTCTGTTAAGAGAGGAAGCTGGACTCAAGTATCAGAATAAGCCCTGAGCACCTTCTGCTGCCTGGGCTTCCCACTGAGAGGGTGCTGGTTTGGGACACTGTCCCTTCTCCTGTGGTGAGGCCTCAGGCTGCTTCCCTATTGCTCTGACACTCAGCACCACGTCCACGCTCAGTCAGCCCTGGACCAGCCAGAGGAGCTGGAACTGCCATCCTGCTAGCTTTTCACCTACCCCAGCACTGGCCAGGGAGGTTCCCTAGGGCCGGCCAGGGAAGGGAAGCACGGGCTTGGGGACTCTAGGCCTCAGGACATGCCCTAGTCTGCCTCTGGTCTGTTACCGGAAGGGCTTTGTCTCTCCCATTCATATGCTGGGTGAGCTGGCAGACGAACTCTCCCAGCCTGGCCCCTGAATATGGGGAAGTGCCCCCCTGAATCTCTCCATTTGGGTCTCTGCTATAACAGGACATTGCCTGGGAGAAAGTTTAAGGCTGCTGTCCTGCTAAGGGGTGGTTGGGAGCCTAGCCAGATTGGCTGTACCCTAGGGCCCCTGTAGGGACTGTTCCTCTCCTATAGCCCACACATACACACCAGGTTGACGAGTGCTTATTCTTTTCCAGGGGTAGCGATAAGCACCTACGCCAAGTACTGCTACCACAAGCTGCAGAAGGCGGCTCTGACAGGGGCCAAGAAGGTACAGGCACTGTGGGAGAACCAGGGCAGGGCGGGCAACTTCCAGGCACAGCAAATGTCTAGCGAGGAGGCAGCAAGGCTCGTGTGCTGGCTGGCAAAGCTGTGGGTACTGCACACAGCTTGCCTCGGTGGCTGGCAGAGCTGTGGGTACTACACACAGCTTGCCTCGGTGGTAGCCAAAAGGCCTCAGAACCTGTACTTTCCTGCCTTTCCCTCAGGGGCTCATTTTCATGGACCCCCAGTTGAGCAATTCAGAGAAATCATAGGCTGTTGAAGACATCAGGCAAGCTACCAGAGTGGTATATGGCACAAGAGCCCAGGCTGAACAGCACCATGACTGCACAGACTCCCTGAAAACCCTGGCATCTGTTGCAAGATGCGGGGCTATGCACAGCCACAGTAGGCCAGGAGACCCCCCCTGTGACAGGACCTTTGCCCCTGGCAGCTGTGGGCTGTAGAACGGGCACACCACCTACCCACAGACTGTATGAGCCAGTCCAGGCCCTGCTGTTAGCTCTTCTTTCCTACATCTAGTCTTGCCTTATCCTGTCAAGGCCCCTCCAGCTCCTTTCTCTCCCCTAAAAGACATCTAGGACCCAGTCACATCATGCATCCCTGCAGCCCATCCTTACCCAGGACCTCCTTGGACCCCCTGTACCTGCCCCAGAGCCTGGCCTCCTCCTCCCTTTTTTTTTTTTTTTTTTT